ATCTTTATCTTTATCTTTATCTTTATCTTTATCTTTATCTTTATCTTCATCTTCATCTTCATCCTCATCTTCATCTTCATCTTCGTCGTCTTGGTCTTCATCTTTATCTTTTCCTTTATCCTGATCTAAATATGTCCATTCTTTTCTTCATTTACATATTCACCCCCACCATTGTTATTAGGTTAGGTATTTAAATTTTCCTTCCTCTTTGTCTTTATATCTAGGTTTCTTTACTTTTATTTTATTTTAATTTCTGTATTTATCACTTTCTTCTTCCCCATACTCAACTTTACCTTCTTCCTTGTTTGAGTCTAATCTATTCATGTACATACATACATACATCTTATTCCTAAACTGCTGCTTAGCACGTTTCTTTAATTCGCTATCAATATTAAAGCATACATTTAGGGGGCATTTCCGCCCTAACCATGTACATGTATGGCATTGGTATTGGTGTGACTTTTGAATTGATTTTTTCGCTCTATTTTAAACTGATTTGAAATTTTAAAAATTGCCTGCACATCAGCATCAAAATACCTTTCTAATGATATATAATTGTTTATACCTTAGAAGTATAGTTTAGCCGTAAAAGGGGTGTAAAGGAAACATGATTGCCTATTTATATAATGATTTTATAAACTTAGTAGTCCGCAAAGTATAAAGCTTATCTTAGATGTAGCTTTCTTAAACGTGAGAAATTATTTTTAATATTTTTATTGAGCTTTGTACCGCGATTGTTTATTAGGAATAATTGAAAAAGCAACAAAGTCTAAGCGGTAGAAGGAAGTTATAGCAGCTATTTCGGAGCTCCTCATCAGACTTCTTTTTTCTAGACTTCAGCAGGGATCGAACCTGCGTAATTGAAGTCTAGAAAAAAGAAGTCTGATGAGGAGATATGCTAATCTCCGAAATAGCTGCTATAACTTCCTTCTACCGCTTAGACTTTGTTGTTTTTTCAAATTTTTCCTAACAAACAATCGTGGTACAGAGGTCAATCAAAATATTAAAAATAAAATGTTAATAAGCCACAATAACATTGACAATTACATAGTGAGAAATTATATTTATGTATATGCAAAATCTTGTGCGAATCATCCTGCCTGCCTTAAAAATCATCTATGGTTTTTCAAACACCGATGTTAAGACCTTAGTATTTTGATTTCCTTTAATCGCAATCTAATTAGTTCAACGCTAAAAAATACAATCAAAAAGAATATTTGGTGGACACTCAACTCTCTGTAAAAAAAATTGTGACCAGACGGACAAAAATCGTTTTTAGACATAAATATATATAAACACATTTGAGATGCCCAATATATTTGTATGGAAAAGTAGGACTTTAAACAAATGTTTGTAAAAATATCAAGTCGAATCCATTATCATGATTTAAATTGCATTATATAAGTTTTGACTTTGGTGTGTTTACATAAATAAGATTACCGAAACTTAGCCTAGAATCGGACTGGTATACAAATTTCTTTATAGGAAACATATGAAACCATTTACAGGGATTTTCTTTGCGGATTTCATTACAGAGCTCACAAACAAACCATCTTCGGAGGAAGCAGAAAAGTGTATGTAGGCTCCACTATTTTTGTGATAATTTCAAGACCTACATCACATAGAGGAGGAAGGCTGGACCAAACACTTTAAAAAAATGTTAGCGCCAAACAGTTTTTTTCTGAATTTCAGTACAAATCAGTACGAGGTTTATAAATAAAATCCGTACATTTGCGTGCTTATTTGACAATTAAGAAAATAAAGTAAAGGAGTTGGAAAAGATTTACTATGTATGTACTGTAGTTCCCAAATAAGTACGTCTGACATCCTTACTTAGATACCACGAATGAATACTAATACAATAGTAGCCAAGTTCTCTCTGTGGCTATTGTAGTAGATTAAAGTCGTACCTGAGCAGAGTGAATGAAGACTGGGCCCAACGAGTGCCCGGCATGCGGAGAGTCGCCACATGACTCACGAAACCTTTTCGCTCGCCCCCAAAACTCTCCACAGCTACCCCCCTTGTCCCTATGGACATACCTTATGGAAGTTGCGTACTTCCTGGCTGAGCCAGACGACAACGTTAACGGATTTAATACTATTTTTTTTTTATATTCCATTTAAAATAAAAAAATATCACTCCTCCAAAAGTTATTCAATGTTAATATGAATAATAAATTTAGTGTTTTTAATTTGGCAAAATGTTAAAATTTATGACAAAGTGCAAGTTTGAAGTGGCTACAAAATACCATTGATTTTTGGGAATTTTTATTGACGATGTTGTGCACCTACCCCCATTTCGAAAAATGTTGGCCTTTATTAAAAGCATTTTATTTGGACCGCACAGCGTGTTAATATTTTATTTAAAATTTTGGAGAATGCTCTTGCTCCATATTTACATACATATATGTATGTATGTAAGAATGTAGCTTGCCTACGCAAGTGTTAGTTATTGACTTGGGAGAATATAAATTAGAGTTTAATGCAAATTACCTAATGCGATTGATTTTTGATCAATATTTTTCGAACATTTTGGTAAGTAGAATTTAAAAGAGCATAACGGAAAACTTAATGATTTGTTTAAGTCAATTATATGAATTGGTAATGTGATCGCTTTTGTTCATAAAATCGTACCTGTCAACCAACTTGGCTTTCGTTTTCTTTGTTGTATCTTTGTTATACCATTTACGCTCGAACTACGCGTAAATAGTTTGCATAGTATTGCCATTTTACTTAATTTGACGTCTTTGCGGATGCATAGAGTCATAAATAAGTTTTTATTATCGCTGTTCGTAACAAATGGAAATCAATTGTTCAGCAAGATTGTCAACTACAATTTTGTTTTCGTTTTTTTTTTTTTTTGTTGTATTGTACAGATGGCAACAAACAACCGATGACTAATTTTTTGACTCTGCTGCGAAAAAATATCTCTATACCTTTTAAGAATACAATGTTGCATCATTGTTTTTAACGCCTGCGAATACATATATAAGAGTATACATATTTAAGAATAGAGCTGAAGCAAGGTTTACTCCAATAAGTTGGAAGAAATAGTTAACTTCATACGTTCAGTCTTAAGCAGAATAAAATTCGAGTCCGCTAATGTAGCTTATTGCTTAATTGCCTAAATATACGCATCAGTGATGAAAGTGGATAAAATTGTTCTTTTTTCAGTTCTTTTTTACTTTATAGGAACATTCGCTAAAAATACTCCATTTTAAGGGCATTTATGTAAAACATGGCCAAATTACTTAATTTCCAAATAAACCTTTTTTTCGTGGTATTTTATATACTTGTACCACCGTTTGTCAGTATGAACCAAACCCGAAAAATTCGCCGACCGCTCATCACCGGTAAAGTTCCGCCAGTTATTTGAACCAACCCCAGACATACTCTGGCTATTCCATTCGAAAGCTCGTATAGTCAAATTCCTACCTTCCTCGGCAATCTCGTCTGAGCGAACGTAAAACGCGAAATATTTCGGATGTTGTGGCCACTGAAAATTTAT